CCTGCTGAAAAGTGGCTTAAATTTTCTTTTTTCAGTGACTCACTTTTCAATTGGCAAAGCTTTGATACCGCCATCCGCTTCTCGTTAGGTATGTGAATGTGTTCTCAGACTAGGACCATCCTTCTGGCTTGAAATATGACTGATGCACGACCAAGATTTATGGAAAAAAAAGCATTTTTTGGTATCTACTCGCGCTTGGAAAAATACCTAACTCCTAGGAAATGCGTATGTTTAAATTGCCAGTTTTTTCAGAGCAGTCATATAATGCTGCTTTTGTTAACAATATACAGCTGTTCAATGTGTTTTCTTGACAGACTTAATTACCCTTCTTTGCAGTCATGAAAGAAGCCAAAATTTTTTTTTTTCAGTAATGAAACATAACTTCTTTTATGATGCATTCAGACAAAAAGAAGGATCAACCAAGGAACCATTCCTTCTGAGTATGTGTGTTTCTCCGTATTTTAAGTCTCTGTTTTAGTGCTTTGCTTTTGATGAGTATAATTTAATTTCTGTTCCATTTGCCTTGTGTTTATTCCAAGACAGTAAAGTCAGAATTTAAGCCAATCCACAGGCAAACTGGGGTCACATCATGTGCTTATCCCAGAAGGTTTGCTTTTTGGTTGTGGCTTTTTTTTTTTTTCCTAGAAGTAAAATTGACACATAATCAACAGGGTATGGGTGCTCTTGAAGGAGGGGGGAAAAAAAAAAGGAAAAGAATGAACAAAAAATAACTTCCTGCTCAATCTCCTCAACCATTCTGAAGTGTTTTCTTGGAGAAACTATCCATCTTAATAGTCTGACTTTGATTTAGGAATTCCTAAATAATTAATGCGTAAGAGATCTTGTCCCAAAGCAGTGAGCAATATCGAAGGAGGATCATTTTGTTTGGGTTTTATGTGGTTGAAAATGTAGCATCAGCCATTTTCCTTGTTGAAAGCACCTCCAGTGTGACTTGGACATTAGAGAATCATCACAGAAAAAGTATCTGTAGCTAAAGCTAAGTGAAAATGTGAACTTTGAAGAGTTCAGTTCTCCTGGGGAAATGCGGACTAGAAGTTCAAACACAGAAGCAGCTTTCCCTCATCTGAAGAAAGTCAGTTGCGGGGGGAGTCAAAATTTATTGGACAGGGAAATCAATCCCACTTGCAAATAAAACTGTATGTGCATTGCTAGCATTCCTGATACTGCTGCTAGAAGCAGCTTCCAGAAGTCCGGATCAATTCTGAGTTTTATGCCGCAAGCCTTGAAGGTAGGTGCCTGTAGAATTCATACTGAGGTTGAGATCCGGTTGTGAAATGGAGTGCAGTGTCACGGAGTGCAAAATAAAAATACCCCAAATCAAATATGTTTGTAAGATAGTGGTCTGGTCTTTTACATATTTAACAGTGTACTCATTGCAGAGCTACCAAAGGTAGCAGAAGGCTGGTGTTCCTAAAGAGAAGAGAAATAAGTGGCCAGGAGCTGTGATTTGCCGCAAGATGTGGGACAGGAGCTGATAAGGGCAAGAAATCTCCTTGGAGATGAAAGGGGTGGGAGTTCAAAGCTTACTCTCGAATGGTAATGGACACATCTCTGGAATGAGAAGGTGTTTCTTACTTCCTTCTCATTTCTTACTCGATGGGAATTGTGGGAGACATATGTTCCAAATTTCTCATGTTGCCAGTCGAGGTGGTGGTTGTGGGACTGCAACTGGAGGTTGTATTTGGGTCCCCAGCACAGGAAAGGTGCTGAGAAACTGCAGAGAGCCCTGTGGAGGTTGGCCAAGGTGGTCAGGGGCTGGCTGGGACAGCGTGGCAGCTGGGGCTCATGCAGCCAGGAGGAGACCATGCTGGGTGCAGTGGGGATTTAATTGCAGCGTTCAGCCTCCTGGTGAGTTGTAGAAAAGATGGAGTCAGACTCTTCATGAAGGTGCCCAGTGGAAGTATGAGAGGCTGTGATCACAAATCTAGGACAACAAACTGCCTTCTGGGTAGCAGGAGAAGCAACTTCATAATGAGATGGTGAAATAGCAGAGCAGGGGCCCAGAGAGACCCCAGAGTCTGTCTTTGAAGATGCCCAAGCTCCAATTTTGACATTAGCCCTGCTGCAAGCAGGGCGTTGGACTTGAGACCTCTAGAGATCCCTCCTGAGTTAAATTATTTTGTGATTCCAAGTTCAGGAGATGCAGTGCTTTTCCCAGTTTTAACAGAAGGTCAGAAGTGAATTACTGGAATTGTACAAGTCAACCAATACAGTTCAGTGTAGAAAGCATTCAGTTAAGCACAAAACAAAATGCATATTCCTGTTGTTAAACTACACTGCTTTGAAGCTTTGCTCTGGAATTGCTGAAGGCTGATCTTACCTTTACTTTCTGAGTACCATAAACTTGGAAGAGTGGTGTGTGGTTACAAACACAGGCCCTCATGTCTGTGCCACTAGGTTTATCAGACCTCCGTAAGGTTCACTTGGTGCAACTTTTTGAGTGCCTTTGGCATTTTAGAACATGTATTAGTTGATGCAGAATGAAAGGGAGATGCTTTAAAATTACTTTTCCTTCTGCTGGCTTGAGAGAATTATGTTTCTGTTATTACCTGGCCAAGATTTTCTTGGTATTTCTTCATATTGTATCTGGAGAGGTCATTTCCCGTCTCTGTGCAAGAAGGTCCCTGGCCAGTAGCATGCACTCAGTGCCCCAGAGGGATCAACGTTTTCTTCAATGAGCAGTTAAAATTAAGAGTGAAAGTAGAGGTTGGCATTGGCAGAATTATTTTGCTTTGTTTTACATTAAATGAATTTTCCGTTTACTCTTAACTACTGTGAATAAAAGGAAGTCGTAATGTTTCTGGAAGACCGTGATGGATGAACTTGTTTTCCTTCTTATTCTGAAGGCCTGTAAACAAGTCGAATAACAAATGAGGATCTCTCTTGTTAATAGCTGCTAAATGTTGATCATCTAAGTACAGTGCAAAATGCCTCCCTACTAATATGTGGTTTGATTTCCTGTTAGGCTTATGGATAACTGGGAATATTTGCCTGCCTTCCTTTAGTCGTGTTACACATTTAGTTAAATGTACTGTTTGACTTTATGGATCATGCGTATATTCCATTGCTTTAATGGGGCTTAAGCGAACGCGAAGATGTGAACTGAGGGATAAGAAGATGGCCACCTAGCCTGTTGCAGAAATGCCTAAAAACAACCTGAAAAGAGGCATAAAATAGACCAGTGTATGTTATGTTCTGTAAGTTACAGTATGAGGCTGCTTAAATCTGTTCCTCTTGTAGCATAGTAGTTGTAATCAAAGCTAATATTATGTATATATAGCTTTAGCTTTAAGCCACGGTGAATCTTTAAAAGACCATCATATATGTGACACCACATAATTCCCATTGCAGATAAACACTTTTAAAGGATGACTGTTGCATGTGTAATAACACTCAAAAGATGTTGCAATAATGTTCTTAAGGCTGCATTCTCAAATCCAAGAAGTTGCAAAATTCCAAAATGAAGGTGGTCTGTGAAATCATAGTTCGAGCCCTTTGGGTACATGCTTTAAAGACACTATCCATAACCAAACCTGTAAGTTAGCCCATAATATTTTTCCTCTCTGAATCCTTCCTTTTTTTATTGATCAGGTTGGATGAGTTGTAGGGATGATGTAAGATCATGTAGTGAGAGACTGTTGGATTTTTGCTTCGTTTGTTGCCAGTGAAGAAGCCTTACATTGAATGAATCTAGGGATTTGGGAGAACAGAGAGATATTAATGAAGAAGATTTTCCTAAGATGTGACAAAAGACTATCCCTGCTTCAAGATCTAAGATCTGAAACATTCATGTTCCTACTGCAAAAAAAAACAAAAATCCCACAGAAAAAAAAATGGCTGTTGTTTAACTCGAGGGAGGGGGAAAATGTCTCTTAAGACTTCACCAAAGACTTCAGCTGAAATTTTTTAATCTAATGCAACCTGAGGCGGGCATATACATGGACAGTTTCAAGTCCAGAGCATTAAATCAGTGAAATTTATACACAATTGAAAGCAGGAAACTGAATGGTGCTGCTTGGAATGGGTGCAAAACAAAGCACAGGTGGTAGCAAAACACAGTGGGTTTTAGTGCTAGCTTATTTTCAGTGATCTGTCTGAAGCTGTGTAGAATGAACTGTTTGCTACAGGGAACAGCCCAGAATATGATGTTTAAGATGTGATCCTGGAAGGTAGGGAAGTTAGTTTCAAATTGGCTTGGTCTCTCCCTTACTGGATGAATTAATCATTGAACTAACAGCTAAAACGACTCTTTTCTCTGGCTGTGTCCTTTTGAAGGAACAGTCCAGGCAGTTTTGAAAAGAGGCAGTGTGACAGTGAAGTTCCCAGAAGAAATCTGACGATCTGAACCTTTCAGTAGCAGGCGTGTGTGTGTTCGCGGTGCAGAAGTCAGATGCCTAAATCCCAGAGGAAAGCAAGAGATGCTCCTTTTTGCCCACGTTTCTGTGACCGGCTCAGGCAGTTGCTGTCCTGCCGGTGGTAGCAGTGGTGGCAACGTCCCAGGTATCTGCTTCCACCCATACATTAAGTCAGGGCATCGGCTGGCAACCTTTCAGAGGCTCAGGAAGGGATAAAAAGCATTTACGAGTGCAGCAGTGCCAACAGAAACCCAGCAGGAGCCAAGACATGGCGCGGCAGGGATCCCCACTCCCCACAATGCGGGAACAGTGGGACTGTGGGTTGCCTTCAGGGCCATGGCTTGTGCTCCCAGCACATATGCTCCCTCACAGCTGGAGGCCAGGAACTGCATCCCTCATGACAAGCTGTCCTGCTGATCCACCTCTTCCCCTAAGGAAAGAGGGATGGTGGCTTTCCGTCTCTCCATAGGACAAAAACTCCGCTGTTGGCATTGCTGACAAATGCTATAAATCAAGCTGTG